GAATGTTAATACAATGTGAAGAATGTAACCAATGTCACCGAACATTATGTGTAGAAATTGTTGAATGGGAGCTTGTTTTGCTTGTATATTGTCACTAAAAAATAAAATAAAATGCTATTTTACAAAAATGTAAAAATAGAATACCATATCCAGCAATTCCATTCTTAGGTATTGTCTTAGGCTGGGTTCTCTAGAGAAGCAAAACCAGTAAAGTGTATAAATATATATATAGAGAGAGATTCTATCAAGGAAACAGCTCACGTGATTGTAGAGGCTAGAACGTCCCAAGTCCGTTGATCAGGGTAGAGGCCTCTCCCAAGTCACACAGCTGCAGAAGCTGGCAAGGCCAAGATCGGCAGGTCGGAGAGCAGGGCTCCCGCTCACAGGCTGTGCAGATCAACGAATCCCAGGTTCAGCGGATAAGCTGACAGCTCAAGTCCCAAGTTCGGGAGATGAGACGACAGGAAGCAGCCGCAGGATCCAGCGAGAGTAAAAAGCCAGAACGTCTGCTTATATACAGATGTGGGCCACACCCCCAAGGAGACTCCCATTCATCCGATTGGCTACTCACAGTATATTCAATCATGGGAGTGATTACATCAAAACACTGAGAATCATGGCCCAGCCAAGTTGACACACAATCTTAACCATCACAGGTATGTATCCCAAAGACTTGAAACTAGGTGCTCAAACAGATACTTGTGAACCAATGTTCACTGCAGCATTATTCACAATAGCCCAAGTGGAAACAACCCAACTGTCCATCAACAGATGAATGGATAGACAAAATGTGGTATATACATATAATGGAATATTATGCAGCCATAAAAAACAATAAAGTTCTGATACATGTTGTTACACGGGTGAACCTTGAAGACATTGTTAGTGAAATAAGCTAGATACAAAAGGTCAAATATTGTATGATTCCACTTATATAAGGTATCTGTTATTGCTGTTGTTGGGTGCCAGCGAATTGATTCTAACTCATAGCAATCCCATGTGACAGAGCTGAACTACCCCATAGAGTTTTCTTGACTGTAATCTTTACGGAAGCAGATCGCCAAGTCTTTCCCCCTTGGAGCCCGTGGGTGGGTTCCAACTGACAACCTTTGGGTTAACAGCTGAGCACTTAACTGTTGCACCACCAGTGCTCTCTCATCTAGATTAGGGAAATTCATGTAGAAAATAGAATACAGGTTACCAGGGGCTGAGAAAGGGTAATAGGGAGTTATTATTTAATAAGTAGAGAGTTTCTGTTTGGGATGATAAAAAAAAGATCTAGAAACAGATAGTAGAGAAGGTTATACAACATTGTGAATAAACTTAATGCCACTGAGTTGTACACTCAGAAATGATAAGAATGGTAAATTTGATGCTATGTATATTTTATCACAATTAAGAAAAAAGTAAATTAAAGAGAGAGTGAGAGGGAAAGAGAATGATAAAGCAACTGTGGCAAAATGTTAATAATTGGGGAATCTGGATGAAGACAGTAGGAGAGATCCACCTCTTAACAAAAAACTGGATCTAATCAAGCGTCTCAATCACAGTTTACAGGAAACTGAGAATAGACAAACCAGGGCTTTGAACTGTAATTTTTTCTGTTCCAGTTATCATTCCAGTTCACCAAAATTTTGAACATTTGGTTCTGTTCTGGTTTTGTTTTGTCAATTATGGCTGAACTGGTTCAAACTGGTTTGAACCTATTTTTTACTCTCCAATCTCAAATTTATATTCCGCAAATGGATAACCTGGAGTAATTTCATCTGAAGAAATATGGCTACCAAATTTATTCCTTATACTGAAAGTAATACTGCTTTTTTATATTAACTCAAATGTCCATCCCAAAATTTTGCAATTAGTTTTGAAAGTAGCAATATTAAACTATTTCTTTCTACACATTCATTAATAATTCAATCTAAAGTGACAATGATGTTCAATTTTAATCACTGTCTCAAAACATTTCAATACAAAGAAAAACAATGTAAAATATACTAATTTTTAAAATTCTATTTCTTAAATATACCAGAATTCACTGCAGCAAAGTCACTTTAAAAATTAATATTGTGACCCTTTTAGCTCAGTAATGAAATCACTCCCGAGATTCACCCTTCAGCCGAAGATTAGACAGCCCCATGACATAAAACGAGACTACTGGGGCACAACAGTCCAGGGACAAGGACTAGAAGGCAGGAGGGGACAGGAAAGTTTGTAATAGGGAACCCAAGATTGAGAAGGGACAGTGTTGACATGTCGTTGGGTTGTTAACCATTGTCATAAAACAATATTTGTACTAACTGTTTAATGAGAAACTATTTGTTCTGTAAACCTTCATCAAAAGTACAATAAAAATTAAAAAAATTAGTATTGTGATAAAAACACTCCTAACACTGTATAAACATTCAGTTGAAGATCTGAAATACTTTTTTAGTAGGAAATTCTCAATACTATAAAGTACACTGAAAACAAACTAAATTTTGATGTAGGTGACATTTCACTACTAACACTTAATAGTCACATAAAATTGGTAAGAATTTATTCATGAAATACTAGAAATACAAAGTGTGCTATCATACCTAATACATCAATACATAAAGGCAAAGTGCAATAAAATATTTAATACTTTAATATTCACCCCAGTTCTACGCCGACGAATTGCCATAACATAACATAAACATTTTATCACAAATATAGATTTAATTCATACACAATTATATAGTTCATTAGGAAAACATTATTGCAGTAAACCATCATTACACCTAATTAAAAGAATAGCCCCTAATATTTTCTCATTTAAGCTATCCTTGTTGTCTCGCAAGATGAATTTTGAACCTGGGAAATCTCTCAGCACTGACCTCAGTGGCTGGTGCGCCAAAACTACCATAGCCATTTCATATAACTGGGGGTATTGTGAACGGTTTTCTTCCCCAAATTCAAGAATAATAGTTTTTCTCTCAACAATCTGTACACCATCAAAGCTTGTTAATAAAGAGTCAGTATTAACAGGGCAGTCATTTGATCTCAATTTAACTTTTTTCTTTCATTTTGAGAAATGATTCCATCTCATCAACACCATCATTTGAAACGAGAGCATCTCCTAAACTGCTTTTCTCTGTTACACTTTCAATATTGCTCCTTTTCACATTTTCTATCATTTCCCAAATGCTTTTTAAATAATATCACCTTCATCTTAAGTTCAGAACTAACTAGAATTTGATAACAAGGATCTAGATAAACTGCTCCCGATAAGCTATCATTTTCGATGATAACGTTTTCCTTGCCTGACATTAAATTTTTCAATCAATGTGTTTCCAAATGCACTATTAAGAGTTCTTAATTTTAAATACTAAATAGACAATAGATAAGTGGTAACTTTGGTGAAGGGTAAGACAGTACACAGTACTGGGGAGGCCAGCACAACTTGTACAAGGAAAAGCCATGGAAGCTCCATAGACACATCCAAACTTCTTCAAGGACTGAATTGTTGGGTGGAGGGCTGTGGGAACCATGGTCTCGGGGAACATCTAGCTCAGTTGGCAAATGTTCTGCATTCTACCTTGGTGAGTAGCATCTGGGGTCTTAAACACCTGTGAGCAGCCATCTAAGATACTCCTCTGGTCTCACCCCTTCAGGAGCAAGAGAGAATGAAGAAAACAAGGTACAAGGGAAAGATTAGTCCAAAGGACTAATGGACCACAACTACCACGGCCTCCATCAGACTGAGTCCAGCACAACTAAATGGTGCCCGGCTACGACAGGGATCACAACAGAGGGTCCTGGACAGAGCTGGAGAAAAATGTAGAACAAAATTCTAACTCACAAAAAAAGACCAGACTTACTGGCCTGACAGATTGGAGAAACCCCGAGAGTATGGCCCCCGACACCCTTTTAGCTCAGTAAAGAAGTCACTCCTGAGAGTCACCCTTCAGCCAAAGATTAGACAGGCCTATAAAACAAAACGAGACTAATGGGGCACGACAGCCCAGGGACAAGGACTAGAAGGCAGGAGGGGACAGGAAAGCTGGTAATAGGGAACCCACGGTGGAGAAGAGAGAGTGTTGGCATGTCATGGAGTTGTTAAACAATGTCATAAAACAATATGTGTATCAACTGTTTAATGAGATACTATTTGTTCTGTAAACCTTCATCTAAAGTACAATAATAAAAAAAAAAATTTTTTAAAGAGTTCTTAATTTTAGCTTAGTCTCCACCCACATACCAAAAACATCACTCATGGTTAATTGTTCACTTTGCAATCTTACCGTAACTTTCTTTAAAGGTTTTAAAGCTTCCAAAATTAATTTGACATATGCCCATTTATCCTTAGAAAAGTAGTATTTCACATTATTCTCGGCTAGTACATCACAGAGATTTTTGCATAGTAAGATTTCTAAATTGGCATATATGCTGTTCCATCTTGTTGGGCAATCCAGTACAGGTTTCCTTAGATTATTTTCTGAAAATTTGGTAGACAGTGTCAGAATATGAAGTATTAGAACAAGTTCACCACATCCTCATGAAATTCTTCTGGTTCAGCATCCTTTATTTCATCTTTAATAACTAATTGAAGTGTGTGTGCAGCACACTTCCTACCAGTCAATCAACTCTTATAAACCTTGTCGTTTTCACCGTGCTCTGCCATGGTTAATGTCTGCGAGTCAGCGTACACTAAGTCAGAGTCTTCAAATCTGTCATTTTGCCCTGACATTTGCCGTTTGATTTCACTATCCTTTCTGAGCAGATCAACAAATTTAATCATATTAAGCCATTCGTTACCCGTGGTTACAGAATAAATCTGTTGTAAATCAGTGTTGTACTTCTGTAATTTAACACATGCATAGACAAAAGTTTGTTGATCTAATTTCACCTTAAGGCAAACTCATCTAATATTTTTTGTTGCTTTTCCGGAACACTTCTGACACTTTCTGCAGTCTTGTCTTCGTTTTGCACTGCGTTGTATTCATCCATATGGTGACGCTTCAGGTGCCTCTCTAAATCTGCTGCATGGTCTCCAACTATGCCTATGTTGCAAATTTTACAGGTGCTTTTGTTTTTCAGTCTTTTCATACTTGAAAAATTCTCGATATGGATTTTCTCTGGTTTCTTCCATACTAGAATTTAAGGGATAAGAAATAATATTAACATTAGGGCATATTTTACAGTCACTATATTACAATAAAAGCAAGTCTTAGACTTTGATAATATAAAGAGAATAGAATGCATAAATACATTTGTAGAAATCAATTAGAGCCAGTAAGTATTAAAATGCTTCTAGCCATGTATCATCAGTACATGAGAAAAACCGGAACAACTTCGATTTTACACGCACAGGGTTTGTCGATTTCTTCCATTTGAAGTCCCACTTTACAACATCCTTGTACATTTATTGGGCACATTTTGAAGAAAGGAAACCCTGGTGCCTAGTGATTACATACTACGGCTGCTAACCAAAAGGTCAGCAGTTCGAATCTACCAGGTGCTCCTTGGAAACTCTACGGGGCAGTTCTACGCTGTCCTATAGGGTTGTTACGAGTCAGAATCAACTCGACGGCAGTGGGTTTTTCTGAAGAAGAATCAACTCGACGGCAGTGGGTTTTTCTGAAGAAAAATCACACTTCATAGTGATGCCATCGAGTTGTTTTCAGTGAAATAATAGAATGTCGCAATTGAAACACTAATCTTCTTCCCGCTAGTTGCTAATGTTTGTTAACACTTCAATATGTAAGATAAATATCAAATTTAAGCACATAAGAACAAACAATATGTGATAGTACATTTAAATCGAGATTGAATACAAGAATGGAATCGTTAAAAAATTATACGCTATTTTCTACTTGAATTTAAATATCACACTTAAAAAATGTGGATAATGTACGTTTAAAATGTTTACACCCACCTGACAAATTTCCATTCACATGAAACTTTGTTCAGAACTTGATGCAGTTTAACCAGCTCTTTCAGATTTCTGACTACAAGTGTTCTCAACCGCCGAGGGTTTCTCACGTCTTCAGTAGGCACAGCTTGAGTTACCATGAGAGAGGTCAATTACAGAGCAGAAAAAACAAACTCTGACTGGCCTCGAGTAACAGCAGTCATCACCTGTAGCTGTGGCTGCTCAGTTATCACTTGCTGAAGCAATGAACTGTACCTTTACCAGCCATGTGCCAGAGAAACATTCAGCATACATGGGAGTCAGACACAAATCAAACATAAATGGTTCCATGGTCTTGCTTACAACTTAAAAATTATCGCTGAACTGAAAATAGTGGAGCGAAAAAAACAATGGTTTTCTAATTTGGTTCTGGTTCAGAAAATTTTTTTTTTTTTCAATTTGGCTTTTGATTTCATTCTGGAGAAATTTTTGGATTTTTTTTTTTTTGGATTAAATTTGCAGTTCCATTCCAGTTTAAAGCCCTGATTCTGTTGTACATGAGATCACCGTAAGTTGCAGTTGACAGCAACTATCTATCTATCTATAAAAGACGAATACGTGTGCATGTGTGTGTGTGCATATATATATATATAATATATATTCTGCATTTATATAACTGCATATGGTGATGGTGACTGTCTCTGAGGAATAAAACTTGAGGCCCAGTATAGGAGACTCGCTGTTCATTGTATACACCTTTTCATATAGTGTGAATTTTTTCTACCATTTTTAGAGTATTTATTTAATTCCCTTTACTTTATCTCAAAAAATATATGCAATTCTTATCTCTGCATTCTCTTGCTCATTTTTCTTTATATATTATATATATTTATATATATATAAATATTAT